GATCTGCCCTGAAAATATGTTTGTTCAGATTTTGGATCATGTCCGTTTTCCAAATCATTGAAATTGCATATACCTGAGAATTATGAAATGATGATTAAAATAACACATAAATGGGGTCAAAATAAATTAAAAACTATCTTTATAATATTTAAATTACAATGCATAAGCATCTAAAAGCAGCACATAACTTAAGAAACAGTAAAGTTGCTACCAAATATTTTTAAAATCCACATTAATGATATTTATCTGTAGTTTCCACAATTGAAATATGAATAATGCTAAGGACAGGCTTGTAGAATCTATGTCTATGTCTCGTGCTGTTAATGAAGACCCTTGAGGACAGAGACATCCAGTGTCGGTCTTTCTGCTCAGAGACTCATCCTCCACCTGCTTCCCCCACAGGCTTAGGAAGCTCACGTTGGCTCTCTCCACTCTGGACTATGGCTACGGGCACAGGACAGAGAGGTTCACTCACTGCGGCAGGGCACTTCCGGGGTCCAGCCATCTCGTGTGCAAGTTATATATTCCCACTTGCTTTGTGAAGGAGTCACATAGTTGTCATCACAGGAATAGTAAAACCATTTTCCTACTGCTACTGGGAAGTATGGTCTATATGTTTCTTCCCCATGTAAGCTTCCATGTTTTATTTCTGGAAAGTCACAGGGCTTAACTAGCAAGTAAAACAAACAAAACACAGTATAAGTAATGTTTTACCTTAAGAAAAATGTAATGAGAGATATCTTACTTCATTGATGAATTAATTATATTCTCATCTGCCCAAAATTACACTCATTGCATTAGGCTTTCTAGGACAAGAGAAGTTATCATCTTCAGATGATGTGAATAACACTTGTTCCCTGATCACTTCACAATATATACAAATATGGAATCATTATATTGACCACCTGAAAGTAACACAACACTCTAGGTCAATATTATCTGCATAAACCATCACTCTCCCTGTCATTGTCATGCACACTGAGTCCTGTGTCACGGTGGTCATGGCCTCCTCTTTAAGGCACCTGACTGTCCACATTCATTTGGCCTTGGCCTTGAATGACCCTGAGCCACTGACCTGTCATGTGTGTCATTTGTCATCCATGGAAGATCCAGCTGAAGTGCGGGCCCCCT